GTATGTATAGCGACGGGAGCGTCAGGAAGGCACACCCAGGAGCCGACACCAAGATGGTAGACACAAATATTGTTCAAGCATTTGGGGACGGAATCAAAGACCTGGAGGTCAGAGCTGCAGTGAGGCTTCGTCACCATACCTCGCTAAAGGAGGCATTGGCGCACGCTTTGGAGGTCGAGGCTGTTCGCTATGACGTGCGGCGGACTCATAAGATCTGCGAGGTCTCTGAAGAAGTCAAGGAGGTTAAGGCTCTAAGACTCTAAGAGAAGTTCTAGACCATGTGCTACAAGTGCGGCGAGAGAGGCCATCTTCAGCTCAACTGCCCGCAGAAGCAAGATGGCAAGGATGAAAAGGATTGAGGAACAAATAGAGGAGCTGAAGAAGCAAGGGGCTTCAGGGAAACGAATAAAAGCCAGGACTAAGGGGCGAGTACTGGCTGACGCGTAGGAAGCCCCAGCAAACAGCAACAACTACGGATCAGTGACTGAGCTACTCAATGACTTCAAGACGGAACACCGCAGCAGAAAGACGCATAGGAATGCCGACGCACTCTCACGAAGGCCGTGTTCGGAAGACTGCAAACATTGGCAGGAATCAGCAGGAATCCAATGAAGTAACATTAAAGCTAACGAGAACAAGTCCTTTGGGTCTCTGGGAGAATAATGCTATGAGGGAGGCTCAAGAAAGAGATGACGACCTTCGGCACATCATCACATGGAAGAAACGGGGTGACGTAAAACCAATCTGGAGTCAGGTTGCTCCTACTGGCGCCGTCACTAAGGCGTACTGGGCGCAATGGGACAGTCTGATACTTCAAAACGGAATACTCTACCGGAAATGGGAGAAAACTAACGGCAGAGTTCCATCTTCAGATAATCGTCCCAAGAACGAGAGTACCAGATTTTCTCCGTGAAATACATGATGGCGTATCAGGAGGTCATCTAGGTGTTAAGAGGACGTTAACAAAAGTGCGAGAACGATTCTACTGGTTGCATTGTCGAGATGATGTACAGGATTGGTGCCGCAAACGTACTACTTGCGCTGCTGTAAAAGGACCACAGACCAGAAGCCGTGGAAACCTGCGGTTGTATAACGTCGGTGCACCGTGGGAACGAATTGCAGTTGACGTAGCTGGGCCATTTCCTGTAACGGAATCGGGAAACAAGTATTTTATGGTCGTCATGGACTACTTCACCAAATGGCCCGAAGTTTTCGCCATACCAAACCAAGAAGCTACAACGGTCGCTTCTAAGTTAGTCGAAGAAGTGATATGTCGCTTTTGTGTGCCTCTAGAAATCCATTCCGATCATGGCAGGAACTTCGAATCGCAAGTATTCCAGGAAGTGTGCAGAATTTTGGGCATGCATAAGACGAGGACCACCGCGTGCCACCCACAGTCCGATGGAATGGTTGAGAGATTTAACCAGACCCTTGAGAGGCATTTGGCGAAATTGGTAGACGACAAACAAAATGATTGGGACAAGTATATACCACTCTTCCTTCTGTCGTACCGTACCGCCGAGCATGAGAGCATAAAAGCTACTCCGGCATATGTCAATTACGGTAGAGAACTACGAATACCAGCAGACCTATTGACAGGAGGGCACCGGAGGCACCAGAGACCGTACAAGACTATGTCTGCAATTTAAGGGAAAAAATGCGCTATATACACGCCTTGGTTCGGGAAAATGGGTTACAGTCAAGGGAGAACATGAAAACCAGATTCGACCGGAAATCGAACACGAGCGGCTTCGAGGAAGGGTCACTGGTGTGGCTACATAACCCAACTCGCCGGAAAGGGAAATCTCCAAAGTTGCAGACCAAGTGGGACGGTCCATACAAAGTGGTTACCCGACTAAATGACGTGACTTATAGGATTCAAAAGCAACCAAGAGGGACATTCAAAGTGGTACACATAGACCGTCTGGCGCGTTACCATGGCAGTAACAATGATGCTCGGGACGGGCATCTCTAAGAGGGTAGTAGTGTTACGAACACAAAAAGAAACTAGCGCCATCTAGCATCAACCAGTAAACCGCTCAACGAACAAAGACAACATAAAACCTTACCCCCTATTCGATACTAGATGGCGTTAGAGGAACTACTGTGGAACTATAGTCTCGAAAACCGGGTACATTCGCGAACTTTCCAGCATCACGATCATGTTCGCACGTGTCGGGTACGTTCCAGGAAGGAACTTTCTGGATTAGTCTGGGGCTCGTCTCGGCCCATATAAAAAGCCGCAGAGAGGCGAGCCAGGACAGTTCAGTTAGAGCTACCTTCGAGGCGACTTCGGAGCGAAAACTAGTGATCAAGAGCGATACCAGTGAAACCTACGACTTGGCTACAATCTAGCATCGTCAGTGCTTAGTGTTTGGACCTAGTGCTTTGTGTTGGATAGGTCCACTAAGGTGCTAGTGAATAAAGTCTTCAAAAGAGTCAGCAGGTCTTTCTCTCCAAATCCTTCGAACCCTAACACGTAACAATATTTAATATAGCCTGTTGGTCCGAGCGTCATACACAACGGTAAACTATTGATGTAGTCCCAAGTTCAAACCACTCATCGAGTGGAGTTGTATTTTTTATATTATTTTCACTTTTAATTTGTTAGCCAACTAATTATTTTGTTTTTATTTTATAAAATGGCTCAATTTGGGAAATAAACAAATTATAAAATAATTATTTTTCGTGTATAAGATAAATTTTCGTTTTAGGTTGAACAATTAAATAAATTAATAAAAAAATAGATGACGTTAAAAAATTTTAATACTAAAAGTTGGTTTATTAACTGATAGATTGTTCTCCAACTGTTCAACTTTGAATAAATACAATAATATTTCGTTGTAATTATTTATGAAAATAAAAAGATCAACAATAATTAAATGGTAATTAAGAAATACTTCAAAATCAACAATAAGTACAACAAAAAATTTTGGGATTTGAACCCAATCCATAAAGAATGATGGTCCGTATGTCCGACTGATAGACCAATCAATCACGAGATAAGACATTGAAATTATGCTTTAAATAAATTAACAGCTGTTAATACATACAAATAATTTATAAATACGAAATATGTGAATATATATTTTTTAGTTTCGTGTTTTCGAAGGTCTAATAAAATTAAAACTATCAATAATAACTAAATACGAAACATATTTCGTAGCAGTGAGCGGGCTATGAGCGGCATAGGTCCGCGAGGCGCCTCAGCGATCTCTGTTCAACGTGTGGAGTTGGAAGAGAACCGAAACAACGCCGGGGTGGTGCGGTGTTTTGGCTATCGCGTTCGAATTTATTTTAATGAATTAAATTAATATTTACAAATATCTTACTTTAATCAACAAATTAAGACAACATTCCTTTTTATTAATATATTCTACACCACTGGTAATAATTTCCGTAAGATTTGTTCATTTATAAAATCTATTTTTTTATTTGAATTTCACGTTTAAAGGTAGGTTCTTGATTTTTTTCTATCGAGAAAATATATCGAGAATATGTTTTGAAAACAATGGTCCATTAGAATGTAAGATCAAGATTAACATATTTTTTTTTGCCTCTATAAAATGTATAGATTTTGTTCAAACATTTTTTGAAAAACCTATTTTTACTGCATACAGCGCCTTAATAGTTTAGTATCTTGGATTAGCTGATGTTTTTGCTTTCAGTCCCGAGACTATTAGAGCTTCATCTGACGAAGAACCGGTGGGCTAGTCAGAACCCACGGCTTTGGGCTCTCCGCTGTGGGTAGGGCCGCGCATGTGCTCATGCGTGCGTTTAAGTATGGTGTGTCATCCAAGGGCCATCGAGGTCGCGGTTCAGACCGAAACCCCGATGGCCATCGACTGTGCAATTAGCTAATCGGTGGCTGGGAGCGGTGAGAACCGCCCCGGAAAGCGGGTGTACCTTATGTACGCGTCGTGTTGGTCTCGGCGTGCTCGGAGTCGATGGCGAACTAGTGTGTTTGATGTTGCACGAACTGTGGGTGTAGTGTTATCCGTTATCCGGCGAGACACTCGGCGGTGGGTCCGGCGCATCTAAGTCCCTTTCCTCGACCGGGTCGATTAGGACGTTTCGCGGGCGACGCTTGTTGACGTTCGCGTTTGTGTCGGGTTGGTAATTTGCTGCGCTTACCACCAGAGGGTTGGGATGATGTTCGTCTCTACCGAAGAACCGTTTGGTCAGGTCTTTAAAATATTCACGAATCGTCGGGAGTCTGCAATCGCTGTGCAGGTCGACGTTGCGTTGATAGCACTGCGCACCGGTTGCGCGGCGGATGAACTTATTTTGTACTATTTGCAACTTGTACAAGCGAGTAGGGTGCGCGATAGATGCAGGTGAATCAGGATCATGCTTCTTAGCAGTCTGTGGCCTATGTTCAGCAGTGCAAACAGGCTGAAATGATGATGATGATGTTGACATACTAAAAAAATGTATTATTATTCTGGACATATTTCTTTGTAAACCGTGGATACCTGGATGTTGGAATTATTAAAAGGTTGAAAATTAAAGAATCTCAATCAGTAACAAGAAACACCGTTTCTTACTATAATGCCTTTAAAAAGAAAAACTTTTTTTTTTAAATATTTTATTGGAAAAGCTTTGAAATAATAATATAGGTATTTAAAAAGAAGTCAGTCTTAAAATTTTACTTCTACAGTCATTAAAGACATAAAACATTTTTTTTAATTATTTATATTTATTTTTACTCAATATATCACAAAAATCTTAGTGCATTAACATAAACTAATATTCTTTTAGGCTTAGAGCCTTAGTTTTGAAGCATTAATCAAATCGCAAGTACAACCACTTCAAGAATACAGAAAAAAATTAGTATCTGCCTTATTATAGATCTAAAATTTTGAAGAAATATTCAACCTCTAGCAAACCATCCACGTCTAAATCACTGCAGTGTATTGCATTTTGCACTTTAGTTTTTCCCAATTTTGCTCTTAAAGTATGTGGTCGCAATAATCTTGCAATTTCCTGAAAAAAGATTATCCAATCTGTATAATATAAAAATCTCTTAGTATACTGTCTAATTTATCACTTCTTTTACATAATTCTTTATAAAAATAAAATAATCCTTACCGGATCTACAGGACCTACAAGTTTTCTAAATTCTACTGCAGTATTAAGACTTTTATCTTTAGATACTATTTCCATAGCAACACATGGACCACTTGACAACTCTTCAACCATACCCTGCAGAGTATCATTTCATAATTAACATAATGTGCCAACATTTTCTGGTCTGAAAGGAGTCAATAATACTACACACAAGAACCATATTATTCTTTCTTTAAAAGACTTATTACTAAAATAATTAATACAATAAAATAAAGAAGAAACGATTAACAACAATTATTTTAAATTGGGAGAGTTAATTTATTTTATAGGTCCTTAAAATATTACATTTGTCTTGTGTATTTTGTTCTCTTTTTGTTATATATCTCTTTGTCTTATTATTTTTTACTTACCTTATATTCTTGAACTATACCCTTGTATACTTCATAAAATTCAGCAGCATTATCACTCTCAACCATAAACATATTCAGTGCTGTGACTTCAAACCCCCCTTCATCTATAATTTCTAAAGCAGATCCCAATTTACCTTCACGAATTGCATGCGGTTTTACAATGCAAAGAGTACAATTAGACAAAGAAGCTGTGAGTCGAAGGCGCATGGCATGTAATGGTGCTGGTGGAAAAAAATACTCTATGTCCTGTAAAAACAAATTGTTTCAATAAACCTGACCTTTTTAAAACTAAATATTTAACATTTTAAGAAATTAAGATATAGCTTCAAATTTTGTTTTGTTAATATTATTTTGGTTTAAACTGGAGCTCATCAAAGCAATGTTGCATGTCAAAATGTTGAATTTATCTGAAGAGGTTTGTATATTCTAATACCTATAATCATTATTTATTTTCTCATTTTAGTCTGAAGATAACATGTAAGAGATGAAATGAAAAGGCAAAATTAAGGACTATTAATCCATTTTTGGACTCACACAATAAATATGGATCTTAATAGTCTCTGAGAGCCTACTTTAACACAATATTGAGCAACCTGAGTTCCAATTCCCAGTGGCGGCACCAATGAAATAAATTCCTAGTTCTAAAAATATAATATAAAATTGAAAAAAAGTACCTGTAATGCAGCATCTGAATTAGAGGCTGCATGGACACAGTTTTTTACTGAATCAGAGCCATACAAAGCTCTTATTGTGCCAGGCTCAGCTTTGAGTGGATCTTTATGGCCTAGAATTTTAAGACAATGTGACACTGCATTCTTCCCAACCAACTCCATGCCATACACCAGCTGCTCATTCAGATGTTCTAATAAGAAACTATAAACACAATCAAACTATAGAAAATAATTCTTTTTCTTAGAAAAGAAGATAATATTTAAAAATAATGAAACATATGTTTTTATATAATAAATATGTATATCACATATATTTTTTTTAATAAATGATTTATTGTCATGGAAATAATTTATTTTAATAAGCTTTTTGTTTCAACATGTTTGACCTGCATATTAGAGTATAAAGCTTAAACATTTTAACTCACGGAAATGTAGGATCTCCTATAAGAGATCTGTACAATATATTAATGTCATCAGCAGTAAGTCTAGTCTTCTTCATTTTGGTTATACGCAATCCGTTCTCATGTAAATGGTTTAATATTTTTCCTACAATATTTGTTGGTAAAGGTTTGATCATTGCAAATGTTCTGAAAATATATGATTAAATATTTGAGTCAGGAATTGTTATTCTAAATGACAGAATTATATTTATTTTTTATGATGAAGGAATAGTGCAATAGTACTTACACTTGAACATCTTTATGCAATAATTTTCTTGTATCTTCACAAGCGAAATCGACAATTTTTATTAATCGACCCAAAATGTACAATGTGCACCCTATATAAAAGTTATCTACAGTAATTCCATTGACTTTAACACGTCTTACAAACGTTTTACGGTTTTTTAAATCATACATTTCTATTGTATCGTCGACCGGATAGTAAAAAACATTAAACCGGCGAACAAGACTTGCTTGATTATCATACCATTCACCAACAAAAGAATATTTGTCCCGATATGCGCCTTCCTGTAAAGGAATAAACGAAATTATACATATTCAACACGATATTTGTTTACTTTTATTACATATTATTAGTATTTGTACCATTTTTTTCTCTTTCAAATATATGAAAACGTTTATGTTAATTCAACAAAAAAAACCGTTGAATGAAAGCCTACAAACCAAATATGACAAACAAAAATAGTCAAAATTGTTATTTCCTATTTTGACATCTTCGTTCGAACTCCAATCGATTTGGCCGGTAATCGATGTTCAAGATATAATAATAATTTATGGAAACGGAAAGTTTAAGCACTATATTTTTTTAGTGTGATAGGTGACTATACTTTAATTTTAGCCCGGCGGCTTTAACAGCTCCGTCGCGAAGACTCATCAGAAACAACGTAGCTGGTGTTCAACGAAGACACGATGACCCCGTCTGCCCGCTGCATCTCCGCGACCCCTGTTAACATAAGACTTGCTATTAAGAAACAAAAATTAAACCTGTGGCACGGGGATTGCCACGGTAAAGCTATTGCAAAGCATTTTTTATCAACTTATGCAATTAGTCCCGACACTGAGCCGTGATAGCACAGTGTCTGGGTGCTCGCCTTTAATTACATTTACTCGAGCAACCTGAGTTCGATTGCCGGTGCCAGCACCACAATTTCATTCGTTAATTTTAAGTGCTGAATTATCACGTGCTCAGCGGTGAAGGAAAAACATCGTGAGGAAACCTGCATGTTTTTGAAATAATAATAAAAACAATATTTCAAAAATATGTGAAGTTCGCCAATCCGCAGTGGGGTCGCGTGGTGGACTATGCCCTGATACCCTCTTTATAGAGGAGGCCTTTGCCCAGCAATGGGACATTTATAGGCTGTTACTTTACTTTTTTATGCAATTATAATTATTTTTTTTTATTTATGCAGTATTTTTTTCTTTGATATTAATTGAATTTTTTCTTTGATATTAATTCAAGTTACACTTTTTGGGCGTGGTGACCGATAAGAAAACAAAATTTTTCTTTTATTGAATAAATGAGAAGTTAATATCGTTTAAAATATTTTTATTATCTTACAATACATGTAGGTTATTCAGGAATTTTTATCATTGAAATTATAGGTTTATGTTAAGTGAAATAAGAAATCGTTCAGTCGCACCATATACATACACGTTAAGCGAACGCTCGGCAGAGCTAAATAGTCAGCGGAGTGGGGAGTGTTAGGTTTTATTTTCGTTACAGAATTTCTTGATTCGGTCGCAGCGCTCAAAGCCCGTGATAAAAGCTATACAAACGCTTAAAAACAACACGACTTAATATGGACAGTAGATTAGGATTTTGTATAGCACAAAATCCTAATTATAGCATTTGTACTATAATTTCATGCTTCATACTATATACTAGACATATCTAAGGATAGTCCGAAAAATACTACAATTTCGTTAATTTACATAAATGACCAAAATCCAACATAAAAAAAAGTTTATTGGATTGTAATAACTTTTAAATGTTTTTAAACAATACTATATGACATTTTTTTTACTCGAGTTATTCGACTTGATATGGCTACTGACACAAGTCGCAACTCGATTTAACACGACTCGATGTCTTCTGTAGGGAGAGAGAGGGACTCGGCAGGCTATCAGAGCACGAGTTAGGCATGAGATATACCTGCAACATTCTATACCCGGCCTCAAAGGTACGGGTATCGCCGTATACCCGGTGCTAAAACCCAGTATCAAAATACCTATAGGTATTAGTTATGTTCAGGCCTCCTAATGGAGACCCGGTATGGAATTGAACCTTTCTTTGGTTGGAATTGGAATATTTAGATGTTTTTTTAGCAATCAGTTTTTTTAATTTGAGATTTAATCAGTCTAAATTAAGCTCCATCTTTACCAACGTAAAGAACCCTATTATAAAAAAAAAAGTAATTCAAAATAAATATTACTGTTTAATCTTATTACGCAATTATTTATCTACCTAATTGTAATAAATTAATAGAAATAAAGAATAAATTTATCTCAAGGAAATATTTGGTATAAAATGCCTAAATCATACGTTTCAATTCGGGCATGATCGGAAAGAGCCGCCGTAAGCGTTCGGGGAACTTCGTACCTATTCGGCCGGCGGGTTGTCGCGAGCGTATATACCGCCACCGTCGGACGAGGCGGCCATAGCCATACCTATCGGTGCGGGTATGGAATGGGCCTCTGCCGTACATACGTCATACCCGGTGTGCGGGCGGGTTGTCGCGAGCATTATATACCGCCACCGTCGGACGAGGCGGCCATACCCAGCCATACATATCGGGTATGGAACGGGCCTCTGCCGTACATACCCGGTGCGCGTACTGGCATGTTCATACTGGGTATTTATACCTGTTCCAGTATATACGCCTCATCCCTAGCACGAGTCATCTCGACTCGAGACTCGAGGCTGCTAGGCAGGTAATTTAAATAGGAGTTACAGATCCGACACGGACAAATTGTGATTTAAGATTATTAGAAAGTTAAGGCGGAGTTCTGCTCCTTAGCCTTATTTTTTTATAACCACCCAGAAATAAAGAGCCTAAAAACAATATTAATTTCCTGTGGTGTTTCTGTAAGACGCAGTTACGAATTGTTTTTTTTTATTGGCGCGCTAATATTAACTTTAAATAATGCACAATATTCAAGTGTAAAAAATAAAAATACAAATGTCTCCCATCAAAACAAAAACGTTACTTTAGTAGTGTTTTCTTTAATAAGAAGTATTTATTAGTACTTATTTCTCGTTATAAATAGGCAATATCGTAGATTTTAACTCTTAACATCTAATTATGACAAGTTCTTTTATCTTTTAAAAATATTTATAAGAGAAAAAAAACCAGTGCCTCTAATCTGCAGCTTTAGCAAAATAAGTCGTCAATACTCCCAGACACTTTCCGTCGGCCGTATTGGTTTGGGTTGCAGATGCTTTAAAGGTACCGAAATAACTGCTCAACTTTTCGTATTTTGCCGAACTCAGGTTGCTCGAGTATATTAAATTAAAGGCGAGCGCCCGGACACTGAGCTATCAAGGCTCTTTAATGAAAAAATAATTAATAATTTCCGAACATTTGCCGATTATTATTTATTTAAGAATTTTAAATCTTTTTTAAATATTGTCAAAAAACTTTAAAAATGTTGACAACCGTATGACATTGATTACTGTGAAATATAATACAGAAAACGTCTAAATACTTTTGTTACAAAAATGGTAAGTAAAAGATTTATTTATTTCAATTTTTGTTCATAGTATAATCACATAATTATTTATTAATTTAATAACTACATTATAGAATCTTGAAATCCTGTGAAAATAGAAAAACAATATGTCAAAATATATTAAACTGCTCAACGCTTTTACAGTTGAGAGATAATATAATTTAGTTTTCTTTAACAATAAAACATCTACAAAAATACGAAGTAGTTATTATGACACTAGCGCGCCGAAATCGGCATTCAAATTACGGCAATTGTGTAATTTCTCTTCAGTTCGGTCTGATTCCATCTGTTGGCTGCGTACGTCAAATGCAACTCTCTATAGAGTGCTATCTCTTTCAGTTTTATATCATGTCACATTCACATAGATATGTACACCGCGCAGTATGAACATTCGTCATCTTTATTAAAACATCACTGACTAGAATAGATTGGCGTCAAAAATAATAACGTTAATTTTTATATTGATAAATATATAGTTGCACCTAGGGCCTTTGAATTGGGCACTGGAATAACATTCAAAGTCCCTTTAGGTTTTTTTTTATGTTAGACGATTGCAAGCGAGCTAGCGGTTCACCTGATGTTATCTCCACTTTATCAAACGGTGGCAACACATCTGCTCGTTGCTAACTGCACTGCTGCTACGAGTGTTGCAAATGTTCATGGACGGCGGCTGTCACTTAACATCAGGTTGGTTCACCAGCTCGCTAGCCACCTTCTCACATAAAAAAGTGATAACCGGTGCCCGTGGATACACCATTCTTCAGCGAGGTTATAGTACTTCTCTGGACGGACCTACCCATTTGTGCTACAGCAAAGACGACTGCATGTAAGGTTTACGTACAAAAGAGCCATACAATGTAGTGCTGTGCCACCTCCTCATCCCCTATGAGAAGAAAATCCGATCGATTACATTATTGCATCATTATCGAGGCAATAACAAGCGCCTTTCCCCAGCTCAGTGCCATCGTTGCTAATTATATAGACAATTGGCACGTAATTGCCACATCCTGCCAGTTGTGTAAAATGCCTCGGCAATCATGCAACCACCGAGCGCATACTCATGACACTCGCGTTGACCTCGACCCACACCCACTCGTATGTAGTGGGTAAGATAGACATTCTGCGAATGCCCGCGGATACTTAGAACTGGCGCATAGCAGGTGGCCGATTCCCTACTGTTGCAGAAGGGCGACTTAAGTCTTCTGCCGTCGTTTACGTCCCTCTGTCCCACCGCTACCACCAGCACCATCCGTGCGAATGGTGGTGCAAAGAAATTTCGTCTATATGTTACTCTATGACCTCACTGACAGAATCGACAGATCCGAACTACGTATACTAGCGCACAAAGTAAGGACGGCGCCTTCAACTAGAGAGCACCTTCTGACATTGCTCGATCACTCCGCAGTGATCGGTGCCTTTAGCAACTCGCGAATCTTAATTTTGGTCAAACTGTTACCTTACACTAGAGACCCGCCGTAGACAGCGATTTTTACAAATATCTACAATGAAATGTCATTAATTCACGAAAATGAGATACGTCACCATGAATTTGACCTGACCGTCGCAGCTTCAAATACACAACTGTCTCTTACAGACTTACGATTACTTTGATAAATTTACATTTTTATGCGAAATGTACGACGAGGACGCAGATGAAGTAAGAGAGTTAACTTTAAATTTTTTCCCATTTGATAACTCCGTGCAAGTAATTGATACAAAAAAAGGAAAAAATCTGTTACGACGAGTGCACCTTCCATCCCTAAAGCTAGATATGCTACAAATCGGAAACATTATAAACGTATTCGCTAAATTATTGCAAGTTACTGATTGCGCACCGAAGACCAGACGACTGTTGT